TAATTCAAGTTCTGCATCATTGTTGTGGTATATAATTTTCAATTATCTAATTCATAGAGATTAGAAAAAATAATTAACTTAGTTGATAATAATAGATATATTCAATTTATATATATATATATATATATATATATATATATTTACTTAAAAATACTTACATTCCACAGTTATTAATTTATATAGCAAATTGAAATAAGAACTTTTGCACTTGGGAAAACAGATTAATCCACCAGACTTTTTTTTTAATATCCTATTTTTTTTTATCCAAATAACTCAGATCCCTTCTTATTTATTCATTTTTCAGCCAAAGTGAGAAATAATAGTGTTCCACTTTCCTTTCAAAACCAACCTTCCTTAGATTATTCCCAACAATCAATAGGACACCATTTTCATCCACACACAAGTTTTTTCGTTCACTCTCAAGTTCTTACTTGGAGTAAAAAATAGGTCAGTCATGTAAATAAAAAAAAGGTTTAGATTATTTGGGTAAAAAAGAATGAGATATTAAAAAAAAAAAAAAAGTCTAATCCACCACCTGTAGAATTCTATAAAAAGGCACAATCATTTTCTTATTTTTCACACAAAAGGGTGCATTTGTAAATAATGTGATGTATATGAACTGAAACCATTACTAGATATCCTCGTATTCAAATATTAATCTTTTCTTTGAAGGAAATTAGAAGGAAACGAATCTGCATATATAAAGATATGTGAAGAAAGAAAACGGGGAAATACCTGAGCTGTAAGGACACGTTTACTGGGACCTACTTATATATTGGATAAGCAAAGTAAAGCCTCAAATGGGGCCAATAGTCTCACATTTATTCTTTCTGAGTATAAAAGAGTATACTATACCTATATCATATCATATAGTTAAAATACTGAGGATATATCCATGCTAAATTACGCGTATATATGTACTTAATATTAGAAATAGCAAATCGACTTATTTAAGTCTCATAAGATTAAGTCGAATAAAAATTACGATGGACATAGATTCCCCACTTGTACACTATACCAAAACCCATATTTTTAGCAAATGTATTATGAAACTTGGTAAATAAACTGAAATAAACTTATAGGACTGTAATATATAAGTTGCTTTTATAAGTTTAATATATACCTTCAAAAAAAAAATTTTAATATGTTTTAGTATGAAATAAAAACTAACTTTGTTAAGAATTAATTTTCGTTAAAAAAATTTGTCTAATTATCTTTAATAAAAAAATTAAAAATATTATTTTTTATCCACAAAATTTGAACAAAACTTTACTTTAAAACTCAAAAAACTGAGTCGAATAGAATTCAAATCAACTGTAATTACTTTAATAATCTCTATAAGAGCTTATTTGATAAATAAATATAAAGTAGGTCATATTATAAGGTACCGCTAATTTGTCCAAATTATATCGTCTAAACCAAGTATAAAACGAAACAAGTAATGTGTATAACTGTTTAGACCTATTAGTGGGTCCCTCCTTTGATTAATTTTGACATGGAAAGAATTAATACATAGCCCCAAGAGTCAAGGAACGTCATGTAAAAGATAATGCCCGGATATGATGCTTCAACACACACGAAAGAATCAACAAATATTGTTATAGCACTTCCAACTTCACCCAATTTTTCAAGAAAAGAATACATGGAAATTTCGTTCACAATTCAACAAGTGGGTCCACTCATGTCTACCTTCACATCCCCTATAGTGTGTCCCTTTAACTTGTACCATATAAATTCCCATCTCTCCTTGCATCACCTTAATTATCAACACCCCCACAAAATCAAACCTAAACCTTATACTCAAAACAAAGGTAGAAATCAATAGAGGGAGTTTAATTTGTTGTGCGAATTATTGAATATTAATGGGGCTTGCAAGTGCAAGCAATTACTCCACCATGGCTATGGCACCAATTGGTGCAAGTTTGAAAAATGCTACCTCTCCCATTCCCTATCTCTTTGGTGGCTTAGCTCTCATGCTCGCACTCATAGGATTGGCATTGCTTATTCTAGCTTGCTCTTATGGTAAAAGTTCTTCATCAACTTCACAAGCGACAAATGCAATGGGAATGGAGGTTGATTCAGAGCCCAAGATTGTTGTTATAATGGCTGGAGATAGCAACCCCACATACATGGCCAAGCCCATGCCATCCACAAACCATAGTACTGGAGAAGCAGATTAGTGGTATTTGTGTGATTTGAGTCATATATCCATCTCATGGAGAGAGAATAAAGAAAAAAAAAAAAAAAAAGGGAAAATTCTTCCTCCTCTTGATGTTTCTCGTTGATCTGTTTTTCTTGTTCATTGGAATTTATGTATATACCTTTTTGTGCAATTCTCTAAACTGAAGTTGATTTTGCCAAAATATGTAAATCAAAGATTAGAAATGATATACTGTTTAGGTGTTGTTTGTTGTATACTTTTCCCTCTTTCTTAGCTCATTCTTTTGTTAAGATTTTAACAATCATTAATTAGTGAAAGAGAAACATATAAATCATTGATTGGTGTGAAAATTGACTTAGAACTTATACCAGAAAGGGATCAAGACACATGTTTTAATCTCTCCTTTGGCCTTTTAGGCCATCGAGATAACCAACAACAATATGCATTTTGATACAAGATACTGCGACATGTCATCATTATCTCGTTTTCAATCATCTCCGTAACTAAGACAACCGAATGAATCAATGACGAGTTCATCCTCGTTCGTGTATATTTATCTTATGAAGGATAGTCTCGGTGATAACAACTGAGGAGATAGCCAACACAATCATACCTTGAAATGTTTATAGTTACCTAACTAATAAGAGGAATAAACATGATTAAGAAATTAATTTATCATCAATAATTATATTACCTAATTGATAATAAGAACCAAAAATCTAAAAGATCCAAGTCTATTTTGGTCCGTGTAAATAGTTACACAAATGGAAACAAAACTATTTTTCATTTATTACATGCCTAGATATTTGAGTCTTGATTTGAATATTAGAGAGCCTTTTTGTAAGTATCCCACCCCCTCAGAGTTACTGCCCAAACAGATATTCAGATTCCAACATCAAAGATTTATTAAAGTACCCTTGGACAAGTATAAAAATATAATTTGGAGGAGACATTATTTTTGTTCCTTGTGGTTGGTATCTACATGTCACAACTTTTTAGGTTAGAAATTAATTTCACTCAAGATATTATAACTGTAGTTGGCTCAAAATTTTTTCATACACAATAAAGATTGAGAATCAAATACAAGACTATATGCTAAATAGATCATTTCATAATATGTAAATTCATGATGTTTAATCATTACATCAACACATCAAATTATTTTAAAGGGACTCCACTGGATAGGTGTAGTTAATCAAATTTTTTAACAAAAATTAGTCAATTTATTTGTACTATGTAGGGCCTAAACCCTAGAAGCTAGAATAGGACCAAACGAAGAGACATAACTCCCATAACATCATGTAATAAAAGAAAACAAACTCCTCTCAAGTACAAAGAACGGCTTTTTGACCTCACTAAATTAAAAAAAATAAAAATACATGAAATAAATTTAAAAAAAAAACTATTTACTGAAATAGGTGATTTTGGACACGTAAGCTGACACGTGGCACTGAAAACGCATGGGGTGCGCGTTTTTTAGAAAAAGTCTCCCGCAGGCTCCTTTAGTTGCTGATGTGGCCATCAGAGCATCTGGTCAAGAAAGAGCAGGGGGCAGGCGTTTTTTAGAAAGAGCCTCCCCCCTAGGCGCCTTCTATTTGTGGCAAGTTTGAAAAGAAAGAGCCTGGGGAGTAGGCGCCATCTGTACCACATTACACGTGGCAAGTTTGTAAAAAAAGAGCAGGGGGAGGCGTTTTCAAGAAAAAACCTCCCCCAAATGCTACATGTGTACGTGCTCATTCGTTGCAATGCGCCTCTCCCCCAGGCGCTATAAAATTCAAAGTAGTTAAATGTAGAACGTGTTATTGGGTTTCACAAAATTCACTTCTTCGGTGTGGTACTCCAGCTGATATTTTATTTGGTGGTCCAGGAGCAAGTGAGTAATATATTTTATTTGTTATAATTTTAAATTTTAATTTTTATAATATATTGTATGTTTGTATCATTGTTTATTTTGTAAAATAGAGTGGTGTAATAATTTTAATTTTTTTTTAAATAGGAAGGTCAATACGTAAGTTTTAAACGTGGAACGGGCCGTTCTGAAAAAGCACGTATTCAGAATGGGTCATTCCGGTTTGTAAAGAAAGGAGGGTTATGTACAATAAGAACGGGCGTTCTGAAAGCAGAACGGGCCGTTCTTATTGTACTGAAGAATTGTTAATTTTTGCACTGGAACGGCCCGTTCTCCTTTTAGAACAGGCCGTTCCGGAACAAAAATTAACCTCTTATGAGCTCTCTGAGAACGGGCCGTTCTGATTTCAGAACGGCCTGTTCTAGATTCATAGATAAGGCACCTTTGTTGCAATGAGAACGGCCCGTTCTGAAATTAGAACAGGCCGTTCCAGTGCCCCATTTAAATTTTTTTAAATTGAAAAAGTTATATAATTTGATTTTTATAATTGAATATATGTATTTATTGCAATGTTAAAAATTATGATATTATACTGAATATTTTAAATTTTAGAATTTGAGACAATATTAATGGAATATTTATTTTGATTTGTATTTTATTAGGAATGTCTCGTAGAGGAATAGATTATGTACCTGATAGTGACGAAGAAGAAGACATTGTTCCATCAGATGAAGTATTGACAGATGAGCAATTTTTGTCAATAATGAGAAGTGCAATAGCAGCTAGACAGGCTGAAGAAGCTAGAGAACAGGAGCCATTAGGGATGGCAATGGGGCCCCATGGGGGCGGGTAATAGTAAACCCGCCCCCGCCCCGCCAAATGAAAATTGGCCTCATACCCACCTCATATCCGCGCGGGTATCCATTAAGCGGGTATCTATGACTTTCTTGAATACCCACAAATATCCACGGATATCCATGGATATTTATAAAATTTTTAAGAAATTAAAAAAATTATATTACAAATGATTTTAAGTTTATATTTTAATGTCATTGAAATATTAAAAATAAAAATTCAATGTTAATTTTGAACTTTTATTTAACGTTAATTTTGTTGAAATAATAATAATAATTCAAGATAATCAATAACTTAAAATACATCAATCTCACAAGTAAGTTAAAGTCTCATCACAAAGCTACAATAATTCAATCTCATAATTCCAAATGAAAGTAAATAACTTAAAATACATAAATTTTATTGGTCCAATCAAAACTAGAAAATTAATCAAATTACATCCAACATAATTCTATAACATGCTTAACACATGCCGGTAACTTCATCAACCTCACTTTTATAAGAAAATAAGATGAGAGAGTGTAGTTTTAGGATTATGTGGTATAAAGATAATTAGGATATTTAAGAAGTAATATTAAACGGGTACCCGCGGGGATGGATATCATCATACCCGCCCCCGCCCCATTTATAAAAACTCTAACCCGTGGCGCTATGCTATGCATTATGTGAAATCTAGAGGTTTGTTTAGCATATTAAGTTTGATGTGTGTAAATTTAATGATGCAAATAATGTTAACTATAATTTGTATTTTTTTAACAATAGGTCTACCTGAAGTGACTTCATTGATTAATATCGACCACAATTTACAAAGAGTCCCAACAGTTGTTGCTTTTGTGGAGTCTATGACCCCAACTGGACAGGGAAATTATACTATTAATTTAAAGGTATGGTTAGTGAATTTGTTATACATTAAAAGAAATTGTTTTGTAATTAATTGTAAATATTTATTTCAGGACCCAACTGCAACGATTGGTGCAAGCTTACATTACAAAGTTAAGCAACACCAACAATATGGGGAAGACATTGTTGTGAAGTGTGTGTTAATTCTGAAACAGGTAATATTTGTTGTATAAAATTAAATTATATGTTATTTATGTGTTGAATTGAATTTGTTTTTTTTTCTTCAGGTTGTCGTGTTTGCCCCCAAGCGTTTCCGTGGTCCTTACTTGCTTAATATAACTAAAAATAATGTAAAACGGGTTAGTAGTGTTAGTTAAATATAATTTATTTTGTAAGTAATATTGTTTAACAAATGTATGTTACATTTTTTGCAAGTTATTCCGAAGGATATTTAATTTGATGAGAAAAAATATTTGTAATTTAGTTTTAGGTTTATTGCTAATTCGGATGGTTGTAATGTAATTTTTATTGTGGATTGTAATATTTAAATTTGGAGAACATTATTATTAAATATTGGTAAAATTATGCACTTTAGTTATTAATATGTATTTGTTGTTGTTTTTTAATTCTGTAACGAAAAAAAATTTGTTAAATTATGCACTTCATATTATTTTATTATTTTAGTTAGGCTCCATCTGCCTATAAATATAAGTGTGTGTGTGTGTGTGTTTTATGTTCAGAAAGTTTCTCTTCAACTTAAGATAGAAATATTGTAGTAGTGATTTCGAAGAATGGGTTCAGCAACAGTGTTTGCTCTTGTGTTTCAAAATGTTCAGATATTTGAAACTCAGTACGGTCTTGATTATGCCATACAAATGCCATCTAGTGGAAGAGTTATCAAACTTAACGAAGACATGACACTTGTTGATTTGTTGAATGAGGTACATAGGAGGTTGATCAAAGGGGATAGCAAACGCATAAGTCAACTTCATTATCGTTGTCTAGTTAAATACGAAGATGGAGGAAAGCAATATACTCCATATCCTTTAACCTGTGATGAAGATGTGGCATTCATGTTTAACAAATTTGCAGAAGACCCGAATGAATTACTACTGAATTTGTTTTTTACTTTTGAAGATCTGGAGCCTCAACAATTGCAGATGTGGAACATGGTCAATTCATTTGAAAGACAACTAAACTTCATGTAGGTTACCGTATACGTTAACAATCAATGTTTTCTTAGTTAAGTTTTGATGTTTACTTTTGAAAAGGACTGTGTTGTTTGTATCGTTGTTTATTTTGTAAACAGTCAGTGTTTACTTTGTTAAGTTCATGTTGTTGTTGTCGTTGTTGTTAAACAATACTTAAGTGTTTGTTGAAGTTTAAAAGTATTGTCTTAATTTGAATGTAGTACTAAAGTGTTGAAGTATGAATAATATTTACGTGTGTGATTAAGAAATGTCATAATAATTTCCTTACAATGAAAAATAACAATTGAAAATGTAAAGCATAAAGTAGGTAAAACTAAGGGCCCCGATCGCACCGACAAAATCAATGGTGTAGATCATCTCGAATTTAAAACGAACACTATTCATGGGTCAGAAATTTTGTCTCGTAGTAACAGGGGAAATGAACGACCCTGATCGCATCGATAGAATCAACGGTGTAGATCATCTCGAATTTAAAACAAACACTGTTCATGGGTCAGAAGTGTTGTCTCCTAGTAGCACGGGAAACGAACGGCCCTGATCGCACCGACAGAATCAACGGTGTATATCATCTCGAATTTAAAACAAACACTGTTCATGGGTCAGAAGTGTTGTCTCCTAGTAGCAGGGGAAACGAACGGCTCTGATCGCACCAACAGAATCAACAGTGTAGATCATCTCGAATTTAAAACGAACACTGTCATGGGTCAGAAGTGTTCTCTCGTAGTAGCAGGGGAAACGAACGGCCCTGATCGCACCGACAGAATCAACGGTGTAGATCATCTCGAATTTAAAACAAACATTGTTCATGGGTCAGAAATGTTATCTCCTAGTAACAGGGGAAACGAACGGCCCTGATCGCACCGACAGAATCAACGGTGTAGATCATATCGAATTTAAAACGAACATTGTTCATGGGTCAGAAGTTTTGTCTCGTAGTAACAGGGGAAACGAATGACCCTGATCGCACCGACAGAATCAACGGTGTAGATCATCTCGAATTAAAAATAAACACTATTCATGAGTTAGAAGTGTTGTCTCGTAGTAACAGGGGAAACGAACGGCCTTGATCGCACCGACAGAATCAACGGTGTAGATCATCTCGAATTAAAAATAAACACTATTCATGAGTTAGAAGTGTTGTCTCGTAGTAACAGGGAAAACGAACGGCCCTGATCGCACCGACAAAATCAACGGTATAGATCATCTCGAATTTAAACGAACACTGTTCATGGGTCAGAAGTGTTGTCTCCTAATAACAGGGAAACGAACGACCCTGATCGCATCGACAGAATCAACGAGGGGAGGCTCTTTGTGCAAAACGCCTGCCTCCCCTGCTCTTTCTTTTCCAAATGTGCTACCTGCCACATCAGCAATAGAAGGCGTCTGGGGAAAGGCTTTTTCTAAAAAAACGCCCACCCTTGCGTTTTCAATGCCACGTGTATGCTTAGGTGTCCAAAATCACCTATTTCAATAAATAGTTTTTTTTAATTTATTTAATGTATTTTTAATTTTTTTAATTTAGTGAGCTCAAAAAGCCTACGAAGAACACTTCCTAATACTCAAAGCCAGAGAATGGCCTAAATAGGAAGCCAATTAGCCACAATGTTTGTTTCCCTAATTAAAGATATGGTAAAGGTATTACTTCCCACCCATTTATTGGCCAATCTCTGGTACTGGGGACCATATTAATAAGGATGAAGGAGGTTTTCTGCATCGAAGGACCAAGTACACAACTACTTGAGAATCACTCTCCAACAACAGTTTGTAATATCCCTTATTCCATGCAATTTGAAGTGCATAAAAAATGTCCCGAAACTCCATGTGAGAACATCAATCAATTCAAAATTCCAAAAATTAGTCATTTACAAAATCACAAATATTTGGCATATTCTATTTATAATGTCAATCAAATTAAATCATTTTAAATATAATACTAAAATAATTATTATAAAAATTAACAAATTTATTATACATAGAATCAGTGTAAAAAAATCTAGAGTGGTATTATGCAAAAGTCACCAATTTTATCGTATATTCTAATTAAATTTATCTAGTTTATTCTTATTGTTTATCACATGTTATTGTTTAATAATATCATTGTTAAAAAAATTAAATTGAAAAGTGCAGCGTAAGATGAAGCTTTATCAATAAGAAAACAAGTTGGATTCCTCATTCTCGATAATAAGAAGAGTTTTTCTTTTTATTCCTATAAAAGTAAACCAAACGCGTAAAAAGAAAACAAATAAACAAACACGGTGATGTTAATTGGTCGGATCCGATGATGCTGATGCGTCCGCTATAAGAAGCCAAATCAATATACCATAATAAGTAATTAACTAATTAATTTTCTTATATATCTTATTATTAAGAAGTATTATCCTAATTAATAATTAATTTTTATTAAAAAATTTAACTGATATTTTTAATAGAATTAAACACTAAATTAACGTCCGAAGCCCTTGAATAATGAAAAAAAAAATGGGACAAATTCTATATATAAAAAATCAATTATAGTTATTTGGTTATTATTAATAGGCATCTATAGATTTAGTTTTATCATACTTGAACTATTAATAAAAGTTGGAATTTATTTGACTATACAGTGTAAGGAAAAATGTAGTCCAACAAATGAATCAAACGCAAATGAGAGATGCAACCCTACACTAATGATTAAATGAATATTGTGGGTTGCAAAATATTGTAGCTATTTCAAATTGCTATGTCGACTTGGCGGTGAAGAATTAAAATAGTTATAGGTTTGTACTTTCAGAGTGTGTTTCCAATACCAAAGACACTCATTTTCCGCGTTCAACCCAAATTATGTATCCTCCTTTCTATTCGGACGTGGAGTTCTTGACTTTATTCCAAACATCAAACATGCACCCATTAATTCAATTGATTTATTTGGCTAAAGAGTTTATTTCAATAATAATAAATTAGAAAAAAAAAATATATACTTCTTTATGAACTAAAATTGCTTTGTAAATAAACTAATTTATTTATTTTTATAATCATAATATTAATACGAAGTATCCATCTCATTAAAAATTAATCTTTATCAAAGACTATAAATATATATAAAATAAATATTTCCTTCTTAACATAATTTATTTCATACCAAGATCATGATTTAAATTTTGAATAATTTGATTAATTAAGAGATATAATTCATTATTATTAATGTTAATGTTAAGTCAACTAATGTTAAAAAATAAAATTTAAGCATAAATTAATTTTAATTTATAAAAAAAATTGTTATATTTTTCATCTCAAAAGTATTTTTGAAAAAAATTTATTTAACCTGACCCAAAATAAGAATTAATATGATAAGGATGGTGCATAATAATTACATTAGGATTAAATTAAGAGTCCTTAATGGTCATTTATAAGAGTGATTCACTTTAAAGTTCATCTTAATGTACTATATAAAAAATATAATAATTGAAACTGAAAAATATAAATTATATAATTAAAATAATTGATCAATAAATAAAACTTACAAGAGTTTATAGTTATTTAAAAAACTAAAATTATAAACAAATAAAAAAAAAACCCAATTTGTATTTCCTTGCTATCCGGTTTTCACAACATTAATAATATATTATGTTAACGCGCCGACTTGAAAGAGTATATAATTTTTTTTTTTTTGTTTCTGGAGTATTTATCGCCATGTATAATTGTATATCACTATATTATTTGCCTAATGACGTGAGAAATTTTTGTCTAAGGTAATTAAAATTCTCATTAATGACAAATTTTTTTAAAATAAAATAATAGTTATATTTTTTAAGTTATTAAGACTTTTTATTTTTAAAAAATATATAATTTTTTAAAACATGAATCAAATGAAAAATTTAGAACTAACAATCAAATTAAAATATGGCCCTACATATATATAGATTTGGCTACAGAAAAATTGCACCGCCACATTATTCAGTGGGATATTGGGCTGAATCT